TTTACACAATTGATGTGTGTATGGATTGGGATAACAGTTGTATGAGCCCCTAATAAAATGTTAAAAAAAAAAAAAGAAAATGTCAATTTACATGAAAACGGAACTTTGTATAGGCATTATCACTGGCTCTGTAACAAGCAAGCGTACCTGTCGGTGGCATGAACTTACACCTAGCCTCCACTGAGGCAAACAAAACGGTCAAAGCAAAATAATGCTATGCTCTTACCATGTTTGGTATATCTAAGGGGTAAAGAAACAGAGGAAGATGGGTTGACACAGTGGGGGCAACAAGGGCTCAAGCACGGAACAACTGAGGATGGTGCACGGCCAGGCAGTGTTTCGTTCTCTTGTGCATCGGGCCGCTGTGGGTCAAAACAGACTTGATGGCACACAAAGCTCTTATCTTGAGATAGTCAACATTTGCCTTAGCTATGTCATAACCACTAATTTTTTAAGCAAAAGTGTTGATGAAGCTAATAACTCCCTGCTATTGGGTTGATTCTGATGCTATAGGCTAGGGCAGAACTGCCTTCATGGGTTTCCAAAACTGTACCGGAGTAGGAAGCCACATGCTTCTCGCATGGAGTGGATGGTGGACTCAAACTGCTGACTTTGTGGTTAGCAGCCCAAGGCATAACCCATTATGCCACAGGGCTCCTTAATGAATCTAGTCGTAGCTACCAATTTTCAAAAAGTACATTTGAAGCCAACTTCATACTTACAAATTCTGTGCCATGTTTGAGGCTCCTCAGGCTGGGCTGTTTGCACATTCCTTGAACTGGATCTATCCCAATGGGACACCAAACCAGAGGAGGGACCTGCCAGCTTGGTGGGATGGCTGCTTGAGCTCCAGCTCAGAAGTAAGACTTCCGCTTCTCTTCTCAGTCCTTAAAGGGTCGCAGGTACGTGGTCCTATGAATGCTACTGAGCATAATCAGAAGCCGAGACCCAGTCCAGGCTCGTGCCGACACTGGACACCTGTTGTTGGATTTATTATCTCCTGGATGCTCCAGTTGTAGTCTCTAGACCTCTAGATCCGTGATGTGGAATTGTGGTCTCTTCAAATGGTAAATTATAAACACCGATGCGTTACAGATGGTTTATTGTTTCATTTTAATACGGCTTTTACTGTTTGTCTGGCCATTCCACTTTTTCAGAACGCAGAAATGGGTACTTTGCAGATGCCTCTGCAGATGCTAGTAGGTAATTAGGATCTCTAACTTTGTTGTTGTTGTGCTTTGTGTTTTAAAAAAGCAGAGTCAGCAGTCATGCCTTTGCCTCTCACAGGCCCATTAGCTGACTCCCAGTGGGGTTTCCTGCCTAAAACATGAGGCACACTAGGACCAGAGGCAGTGATGGCTCATGGCAAACACCACCCGCTCTGAACGTCCCCACGCGCAGCTTTAGACTGCGGTGACTGGAGTGTCTGCCCCAAGCTGCACAAAGTTCCAGGGCCGCTGCTTTTCCCTACAGCTTGGTAGTCTACAAAACCACCCCACTCAGTCATTACAGTAATATGATACTGCAACACAGAAGGAAATGAAACATAACGAAACGGCAGCAAATAAAATGTGGAATACCTTGTTTTTAGCTAATTCCATTTCCAATTTGGATTTTTCTTGAGCTATGTCTTTCTCTGTCTTCTTAACCTGCCCAAGGGGTGGGGGTGGGGGTGGGGGTGACAAAAAAGATATTTGTCAATTTCAACACTGTTGGCAAGCTCTGGGAGAGCAGACACACCCTGCATGTCAATGGATACCTACACTGCAGAGATAGCACATCCTCTCAGAAAAGGGGCCAAGCAATCGGGGAGTCTCTGAGGCAGAGCAGACGTCACAAACAGCCCTGAAATTAGAAAGACACGTCTGCAGGTCAGACTATGCTGGTTCCTTCCTAAGTAGCCAGACAGGGTTGCTCCCACTTTACTCCCACTGTCCCGCTCCTTCACTGGAGATCGATTTGTGAAATCAGACCCTTTAACTAATAGAGGATGTGTTACTATTCACTAATGTTGGATATAAGGGCACCAACTGCTTCCTGTACTGACACACACACAGATAGTTAGCTACCTCAGGGTCACTTTGGTGGGAAACTCTGCCAAACTGCATCTGGGTTTCAGTTCTGCTCTTGTCTTTTGCATCCAGCGTACAATTGTAGAGCCAGCTCGGCACTAGCCAGTGAGAGAAATCTGCTTCCACTCACCTCACTCTGAAGCCTTTCTTTCTCTTCCAGCAGAGACTTCCTCTCTTGTGTGGAGGCTTCCAGTTCCCCACGCAGTCTCATGATGGTGGATTCCAGCAGCTCTTTGTGCATAGCTGTCTTCTTCTCTGCCACCTGTGCTTTCTGGACACACTGGTTGTGCTCATGGACTAAGTGGTCCCTGCAGGAAGAGGACAGGAGACACAAAGCTAGCGAGAGCTCCACTGTCACTCAAACTCACTGCCATCAACTTGGTTCTAACCCAGAGCCACCGACAGGACAGAGGAGCACGGGCCCCTGCGTTCCTGAGGCTGTGGCTCTTTACAGGAATAGACAGCCTCACCTTTCCCCCCCTAGAGAAGCTGGTGGTTTCAAACTGCTGACTTTGCAGTTAGCAATAGAAAGACTGCCCAAATGTTCTTATAGAACAAATATTCTGCCCAAGAGCCATTACTAACATGTCCTAACAAAACAAGTGCTTTGAGGGTAGACTCTTAATCTATTTTACCTTGGTGGCTGGCCTAGTAAATACAGAATTAAACTTTTTCAGTAGGGAGGAAAACAAATGCGAGGACAAAAGCTACACAAGAGTCGCCCATAATTTACTTACAGACGTGCCTGGAGTTGGGCTTTCTCATTCTGAGCAGTCTGTAGTTCACTTGTGAGACTGGCGTGAGCAGCATCCAGCACTAAAGTCTGTTCTTGAACTGCCTGTGCTATCGTTTTCTGTTTTTCCTGAGTGTTTAGAGCAATATTAGAAGATGAGACGCCAGAAAGTCATTTGATAGTGTTATTAAGAATAACATAAAACAAGCTGGTAAAATTCTGCTCTCATAAACATAGAACCTCTTTTACAAAGAAACTATTATAATGCTATCTGATCTCTCCCGCTCCCTATCCTGGGTTAGCCAGAATTCTACACTTGTATAGCTCTCCCACCCAATAGTCAAGGGCACTATTTACTTAGCTGCTGCAAAATTTATAAAATTCCTAATGCCAACGTATTTTTAAATGTATAAAATATAGGCATAAAATATTCTTGGCATTTAAAAATTTCAATACGATACACACCTGACTTTAAAAAGTATAAATAAAGTGGAGAGGGGAAGGGGGAAGCTGATAGCAACAATGACTGTATAACCCCACTCAAGGGGTTGAGGGGAGCGAATAACACAATTGTAGGTGAATGGATATATTGGATAGGGTAAGATACAGCAATATATACAGAGGTTCTTGCGGGGCAAGGGTAGGGGAAAGGGGATAAAGAGGGGATAAAGAGGAGCTGATATCAGAGTTCAAGAAGAAGGAAAATGTTTTGAATCAATTATAGTAGCAATTGTACAAGTATGCTTTATCTATTTGAATTATGGAATGTTATGACATCTGTAAGAGCTCTGAATAAAATAAGTTAAAAAAAGTGTAACTATATAAATGTAATCAAGAAGACGTGAAAAGATCCTTCCACTTCCATCTTCCTCCCTACCTCTCCCAGAATCCCATTCTCCAAAGATGATCATTTTCAACAGTTTGGTGTGAACAATGTTGAGAGTATCTTAAATTGTACTCAGATACTGCTACAGCAGGAGCGTTATAATAGAATTAATTCTTATGAAGAATAACTCATTTGGGAATTATCAAATACATATAGACCCCCACCAACAATCCATAAAGCTTTCATACATATAATACATATTAACAATTCTTTTTGTAAACATTTTAAAACATTTCCACGTTAACATTATTGGATTACAAGCAAGCCACACTTGGTAAGATGGGAGAGAGCCCCCTTGTGCTGTGTTCCAAACCTTTAAAATGTTTTGGCAGTACTACATATATTACCCAGGCCACAAAGTAAGTTCCGTGAAAGAAGGGATTTTCCCTTGTCTAGAATCGCACTTGAACACAGTGAACCCTACAGCTTTGTTGGATAAATGAAGACTAAGTATTGTTTTTGCTATAAACAAAATATGTAATCACTATGGAAAATAACTGAAATATAATGAAGACATTATCTCTATTTCTAGGAAGTTCACAATGTTATACAAGAAATGAACCACATATCAAAATAAAAAGGAAGAAAGTGGTTGGAGTGGGGGACACGGGAAGCATGACAGAGGAAAAAACTGGCCCTGGAGTCAGACCTAGGTTTACATCCAGGTTTGCTCCCCTTACAGTTAGATGAGTTTGAGCAAGGTAATTAATTTCTTTAAGCCTTGTTTTCCTTAATGAAGATAATAAGCACTCCTTTACATGGTGATTGCTAAAAGGATGCAACATATATAAAATCCTTAGCTAAATGCTTGGTACATAGAGTATGCTAAAAAATGAGAACTATCATTATTAGATAGGCATAGAAGTTGCAAAGGGAAACTCATGCTTCTACTTGGGATGACCAAGCTTCCTTCTTAAAGAAAGTGAATCGCGATCCAAAAGGTTGAAGAGGGGAATGACATCCGCAGAAAAATGATCGTGCACACCACGTCAGGGGAAAGGTAAGTGCTTTAGGGACAGTCTTAAGTGTTCAACGGGATTCTAAAATGGGGCTTTCTCTAAAGGAATGCTGTTTGAAAAGAAACCACCAAGAAAATTAATTCTAAGGGTAAGGCCGGATCATCCTTCAGTTGAGAACAAGAAGAATCAGTGATCCAAAACATAAAAATAATTCAGCAAATGTTTTGGAAATACTTATTAAGATAGTTTACTTATCCAGTTGGGGAAGCATATTTCCTGATGGCGCAGCCAGGGAGGCTTCCGGCTGCCTAGGCCCAACGCCCCCTCGTGTCCAGTGAGTACCTGGAGAATGGCTTGGTAGTCGGCCAGGATCCGGGCCTTCTCCATACCAGTGGTCTGCAGCATGCTGCTCAGCTCTGAACACTTACTGCTCAGTTGGTCGTTCAAAACCTATGGCAAAATAGACAGCAAGAGATGGATTTCTGCAATAATCATTGCCATTATGTCAGTATTTTTAATGACTGTATAGTACGTGGACCTAATTAGCCTATCCCTAATTGATATTCATTTCAAAACTCCAAACTCACTGCCATGGAGCTGATGTCCACTAGAGGACAGGGTAGAACTGCTCCTGGGGTTTCCAAGACTGTAACTCTTTGGGAGAGAGGAAAGCCTCGTCTGTCTGCTGCGGCGCCACAGGTGATTTAAACATGGAACCAGGGTGTGTGACCAGTGTGCCCCAGGGTTCCTTGACAGTTCATTAATTTATAAAGTACTTTCAAATATTTGGAGTCAACAATATAAATAATCCTAAATTAAGAGAGATACGTTTTGTCCTGGTTGGAGCCCTGATGGGATAGTGGGGAGCACAGGTCAGCCCTTCAGTAGGAGAGAGAGGAGGTTTGTTATCCCCGCCAAGATGTCCAGCCTCAGAAATTTGCAGGGCAAGCTCTACTCTGTCCCACAGGCCACTGTGAGTCAGACTGCTCAGCAGCATGGAGGGTTTGGTTTGTTGGGGCACTTTATTCAGGACACTGGTCAATTAGAGCAGGTTGTCGGCAGGATGAAAATGTACAGTGTTAGGTACCCAGCCAATGTCAGAGAAAACCATTCCCATGATTTGATGAGGATTCAGAAATTTTCAGCTGATAACCCAAAGTAGCTAAGCTCCTCCACCACTAATTAAAGTATTCATAAAGGCAAATCAGAGGTGATTTCACGAGGAGCCCTGGTGGTGCTGTTGGGTAAGCACTGGACTGCTCTCTGTGGAGTGGGTGGTTCAAATACAAAGGAAATCTAAGAACGCACTGCTTAGATGTCAGTCAGAGGGAAAAAGGTACACGTTTCACCAGTAACTTAGAAAGCAAATAAGGGCACAGTGTAAGCTCAGGTGTGATTAAGCACTGTGATCTCATTTACTGCTCAGTGTTAACTCCTGTGTTATAGGAATTTAGAAAGTGAAAGGTGGTGTATTTAACTTACTTCTTCACAGATGAAGTAGATTTCATGGAAACAAAAAATTTGGATAATGGAGAAGGTATAAACTTATATAAGCAGTATTAATCTTCAGACACAATTAACATATGAGAGCCTGAGCCATGAGGAAGATTTACCCGTGCTTTTTCTGATGATTCTTGAAGGGAGATTATTTCAGATCTCAAATACCCATTTTCTTCATGTTCCTTGTCGAAAAACACCTGTAATGTCTTTAAGGAAAAAAAAAAGAGGAATCTCTCTATTGACAAGTATTAAGAGAACTCTTTTGTGTATCTGTCATGCTACCTGTTCTGTTTTCTGGCGAGTACCAGTTCAGGTACTAATGATATATACACAGTGTCTTAGAAAAAAAATTTTTTAAGCCAAATGCCTTGATATCTTTAACTCTTCAACTTCTCTTCATTTTAAAATTATTCCTCAAACTGATTTTTAAAATTTATCTAGGCTCATTGGATTCCTAACTAGAAAAACTTTGTTTGACTAACGTTCTGAGCTAAATATTTTACCTAATATACGCAAATCAAGACAGTTTTACTCTCTAAGGTGAAATATTTGATATCACATATATAGGTTTTCCTATTACTAGTAAGATTTTGTGATTTCAAAGACACACATTCAAGGATCTTTAGAAGTGATAACCGGTAAGGGCATTATTATTGAGGAATACCTGGGGGTGGAGCAGAAGAAACCCCCGGGCCCCTGAGAAGAAACAGCTAGTTTCTCTCAGTGATGGGAGACAGGTGTGGGGCTGTGGGGTGTGCTTCCCTAACAAGCACTGAATGGAACAGGAAGGAGAAGGCATACATCCTATAGAGAGGGAACCAGTTTTTCTCTTTTCTCAGGAGAAGTATGCCATACTAGGTAAACATCTGAGAACAAAAGATGAGACAACATCCTGAAAAATTATTCCAAACAAGGTCAGAACTAATATAATTAAAAAGTAGTTATATTTAATAAAAATTATTTTTCAAAATAATTAGTGTGTGATTGATATAAAATACAAGTAAGTCCCATCATTTTTGCCAGTTCATTTTTCCAAAAATCTAATAACTGGCCTGAGAACATTTCTTATTTTCAAATATCCATTTGACAACAGTCCTGGATACAAAACTCTTACAAGGAAGCTTATTTTTTTTTTTGAATTTTTAAATGGTTGTACCATTGCATTTATTTATACTCCAACATTCACTCTTTCTTTTCTTTTTTTTTTTTTTAAACATTTTATTAGGGGCTCATACAACTGTTATCCCAATCCAAACACACATCAATTGTGTAAAGCGCATTTGTACATCACTTCTCAAAACATTTTCTCTCCACTTAAACCCCTGACATTAGGTC